TTTGTGTTTAACACTATTTGTATACACTATTTGTAACACTATTTGTATTTATACTGTATGACACAGCAATCAAAATGCAGGTAAACAATTAATGTATATTTAATAATTATGTAATGAAAAGTGACTTCATGAATCACCTCTGAAGTCGTTTTTCAATTTGACGACTCTGTAAATAATAAAACAGGGAGAAAAAAACAGCCCTTGTTGAGTTTCTTGCCGGTTCTTCTCAGTACAAGGTCTCCCGCCCTAGATTTACGAACCGATGGCATAGCTTCTAGACATTCATATGTGCTTGTAACAGCCTAAACTGAAAATTAAGCAAACTGACAGTTGTAAACCGCATTTTATATCATTAAAACTTTTGACATTGCCGTGTATTTACATATATGAAATTGCTGTTTTTGTTAGAGCCAATTTATACTTATATGTTACTTTTAATAGTAGAAGATTCGAAACCAGACTTTGTTTACCATCTAACAAGACATGGCTTATGAATAATAGTGTACTTTGTATGGCACCTCAGGTATATAATAAAATTCCAATTGAAATTAGAAAAGCTGAAAGCCCCAATATATTTCGTTCTGAATTAAAGAATATGTTACTTAAAAAAGCATATTATAGTATAAAGGAATTCTTAGAGGACAAATCTGTGTAAATGGGTGTACACTATGTGTTTATTTTAATTTGCATGCCTTGTGGTGAAATATGGAATAAGCGTACGTATTATAATTTAACACCTTTGTATCACCTGTATTTGCAAATAAATAATTGATTGATTGATTGATTGATTGAATAAATGATTTTGATTATGATTATGATTATGTGGTAGTGGTCGGTGGCCCGTGTGCGGCGACACTAAGAGAAGTAGACCAAAGCGAATGTTCCGCTCGAATTGGAGCGCCCGCCTGGGGAAGTAACACCCATCTTACAGAAAGTCACACTAAATAAACACTACCTTTTGGTAGTATTGTGTTTCTGTCCATGTGGAATAGAATAGAATAATTATTTATAATAAAGGAATATTTGAGTGATGCTGAAATTTAAATTATTATTATGTCCTTAACTTTATGAACAAGATTGATTATTATATTGTTTGACATTGAGATTATTATATTGTTTGACAATGATAATGTGAATTTGTTTATATTATGCTCAATGAATGGAATAATTGTAATAAGTTTTTTTTTCTCGACATGTCAATTAATTTGCACACCCCATTGGGTAAGAATATAGGATGCTGTTTATCTCTGTATCACCATTTGTAACCACATTCTGCAAATAAAGATTATTATTATAATTATTATTATTTATTTTACCACGTACGACAAAACTGTGGAATATATTGTCGCCAGCAGTGTTTCCGGACCAATACGACCCAAAAACCTTCAAAAAAAGAGCGTACTCCTTCCTTATAGGCCGGCATCGCATTTGTGATACTCCTGGTGTTGCAAGTGTCCATGGGCGACGGTGATCACTTACCATCAGGTGAGCCGTCTGCTCGTATGCCCCCTATAACATAAAAAAAAATTGCGTTTGAACTGGGTAATCAAGGTCATAAATATATACCGTTACATGCAAATTTACATAAGATTTTTATCAAATTAATTTATACTATGTCACATAATAGAATAAAAATTACTTAACAGGTCACAGAATAAATAGTTAAAAAATATAAAAAATCGATTAAAATCAGGTCATATTAAAATGTGAATCAAAAATATAATTAAATCAGTATATGACACTCAAAAATCTCATCCACCACAATTACTATTATTTATATATTAGCTATTATAATTCAAGAATTCCTGGACCGAGTAGAATTTACGTTCAATGAGCCATCTATGTAGTGTTATTTTAAATCTACTGAAAGGCAAGTCTCTTATTGAATGTGGAATATTATTAAAAATTTGAAAGCACATGTAGAAACAGTTCTTTTTAAAACGTGTGCTTTTCGGGATTGTATCAATGACTAACCTTTTACAATGTCTTGTATTTGTAGGAAATATCTCACGGGCAGTTTTAAAGGCGTGCGATCCGCATCATAGGCGATGAGGAGGTGTCTAAACACCTCGAGCCTCTTCAATTACGCCGTGACGTTGCGTCACTAAGTGCGTTCTATCGTCTGTACCACGGCGAGTGTTCTGAAGAGTTATTCTCTCTTATTACCTTCCCCTTTCTTTCAGAGGACCACACGCGCTGGCCTTTGTTGTCACCGTCTAACTGTGGCCACAATTCCAACGCGTACAAAGAAATTTGGTGACTCATTTCTTTGTCGCACTATCCGTAAATGGAATGCTCTGCCTGCTCACGTGTTCCCTCCTTCTTACAACCTGGGATCCTTTGAAAGAGGCGTGAAGAAGCAACATGCAGGCAAGGTGAGAATGGCTGGAGTGGCAGGTAGAACTGCTTTACCAGCTATCTTCACGTCTGGACTTCACCATCACTTAACATCAGGTGGGGTGGAGTCATTTGTCGGACCATCTATATAAAAAAAAGTAATTTTGATTTAACTTTACGAACTTAGCTATCTCCAGGATATAGAGGCATGGCAAAGGCAAAATATTTAGTGGTTTGTAAAATGGTTTGCATGACATATTGGGCGCAATCCCGCATATTGCCTTTATGCACTTTTTCTGTGCTACAAATTCCTTAATAAGGAAGGTTCCATGGCTCCACGAGGTAGGGGTAGGTCAGGGTAAGCAACAGCCCGAGTTATATATTTGTATTCCAAGAGTCTACAAGCTATGTAATAATATTTCCAACACACACACCAATTAGCCTAGCCCCAAAGTAAGTAACGTAAGGCTTGTGTTATGGGATACTAGGGTAACGGATAGAATACATATATTGATCATATTATATGTAAGTATATTTATATAAAACTAGCTGACCCAGCGAACTTCGTACCGCCATAAAAATAGGGGCTGCTGGTAGAAGGGTGAAAATTTAGGATTGTATCTATTTTTAATGCCACATTATAAAATAATATAAAAAAATACCAAACATAAAAATAAAATGTTAGGGGTGGACAACCCTTATCACTTAGGGGAGTAAAATAAAGATAGTAGCCGATTCTCAGACTTACTGAATATGCATATAAAATTTCATAAAAATCGGTCAGGCCGTTTTGGAGTAGTATGGTAACTAACATTGTGACACGAGAATTTTATATATAAGGTACATTATTAAACATCCATGCCTGGAGTACAAATGCTCGTATTCATCACACAAACATCTGGCCCCACCGGGATTCGAACCCGGGGAGCTCTCGAGTCGGCGACACCATGAAACCACTTGGCCACGGAGGTCGTCAAATATTGTTATATGCTATATGCTGGCCGCTTACCATCAAGAAGGCTATACTTTTTTGCCACCATTTTAACATATAACAATACAGACAGACACACTTTCGCATTCATAATATTATAGTATTGGATGAACCCAAATATTTTGGGACGTAATGGTGTGAATGTGTTGTTTCACCTGCCTGCGTATGCAATACGTCACTTTGTCTATGCATCTGTAAAGGCCAGTAAGGTGTCAGTGCAAGCTATAATATATGAAGCGAGCTCTTTTAAATAGCAAAATTGTTGTGTATCTATGGCCAGCACATTCACCATTGAATTCCGCTATTTCAAGAATGCCAAAAATTGTTCTCAATTAGTGCCAAATAGTGTTCATAGGAAAAAAATAGTGCTCTTATACTTAAAAACTTAGAGACATAATTTGGTGAGTACGCTGGGCGTAATCTACTTAGCTCTGTGTGAGAAATGTATGTAATCTATCATCATCATCATCATCAGCCTATTAATGTCCCCACTGCTGGGGCACAGGCCTTCCCTATGGATGGAATAGGGAGATTGGGCCGTGTTATAGAGATGTAATCTATAACTATAATTTATATGTCCGTTACTTTAAATATCCGTATATATACGGCTTGTTCCGGGAGTATGTAGTACCTATACTACGCACGAAAACAGAACAATCTTCATGTCTTATTTATATGCCAATAAATAGTTCCCGAAATAGTGCCCTTAGTGGGAGAGATTATTGTTTGACTTTATTGAATTTTAAATTGTTTCTGTGTTAGTAGTCAGGACCTAAAATAAGTATTATTTTTAAAATTTTGTATACTAAAAGCTAACATTACTATATGCAAAAATCTAAAGAAAATTATTGCTAGAAAAAAATCCACGCAGTCCAGGTTTCAGACCCGCCTTGAATCTGCACCTTCGCTATCCGGGCAGAAGAGTGGAAAACATTTTCTTTAGATTAGAAACATCTTGTGGTAAAATGATTAAAAGTTAAAATATTAACTTAACACGAAAGATTATTCCAAGAAAATCCACCGAAAATGTGTGGCATGGAGTCTTTACTCGTACTTCTTGCTAGAGTAATGAAGGCACTTCTCTTGGTTATTCGTGTCTGTCCTTTTCATTCCTTATAAAGCATGATAAGGACATACTGTTGTCAAGTTTACAAAGTGAAAAAACAAATAGCCAAGTGAAGCGCTGGCTGATTGTACATAGGTTTGATATTAAATGAATGCATGCTGCATGAAAGCAAAGCAAATTTCTAAAAAATGTATAATGAAATCACAACGTAAAAGTTTATTATAAAAAAGATATAGAAGGTAGGTATATTTATAATTTGCAGAATAATTTGTAAGACTTTGCATCGAGATCATAATAAAAATAATAGTTTTATTTAAAAAAATATTTAGATTTCAACATCTAAGTAGCATTTAAATGCTTAAAAAATAAAAATATAACAACATTTTATTTTTCACACACACCGATTAGTCTTTAATAAAAACTACATAATGATTTGTTTTATTTTAAAATTCATTAGAAAACATTTCCGCTGACAGACGGAAAGCTTCACTTTGTTATGACTGTTGTAACGGTGAAATACCAAAACATTGGTAGGTATAACGATTAAAATACTATTAACGATTAATATAGTAACAGTAGCTTTTAATAGCGTATCTTTCGCTGTACATCAGGCCTGTGAATTGATCACGCACGCGCAAAGTCACATAATTGTGCAATGGTCAACTGGTCGACCAGTCTTCTTCTTGTGTCCGGCAACACAGCACGTATGTACAAGGGCACTCGTGTGTTTTAGCGGGAAAGTGAGTGCAGTGTGTTCTATTTTCAAAATACAAAAAAAATCCGCAGTGAACCTTTTTCCAGAAGGTAAGTTTTTTTTTCTATTTATGGCGTTGTGTCATTTGTTATTTAAGAAAAAAATATGCGAGGGTTTTATATTTTTTTTTCTTATGGTTGTTAATTCTTTTTTATGTGTTTTTTTAACAAGACTTCTTTTGATGTTGAATTAAAAATACATGCAGATATTAAGTTCTAAATTGTGATAGGCTTGCAGTATAGCGACTTCGGATTGCATGGTTTTCTGAATTCGCAACTATGATGCATAACATTATTTTTAATTTGGATAACAAAGGTATTAGCTAATTTGTTCAGATTATAATATACCTGACTATTTGAAATCATCAAAATATATTCAGGCGTTGTACGTACCTAAGTAATTATGGTAAAATAAACAAACAAACCACATTTTCGATGCATCATACCTAAAACATAGACACAGGATTGATATACAAGATTAAATCGTAGTATCTTTATGGCGTAGCGGCTATAGCGTATTACTTCTGCGATCGTGGCAGTTAAGCAACTTTCGCAATGGTCGGTCATTGGATGGGTGACCAACAATTTGTAATCTTGACCTCCTCCGTTTTGAAAGACAGCTAAGCCGTTGGTGCCTGCATCTGCAGTCGTTAACACTCACTAAGTTCAGGATTACTTACGTAATACCAAAAAAATATAAATAAAACTAGTTTTTACGGGTTAATGCACGAAACTTTATTTATTTATTGACGTTTCGTAGCCTTTACAGGCTACGTCGTCAGAATCAAACTTTTATTTTTAATTTTTTTTTTTACTATTTATATAAACAAAATAAAAGTTTGATTCTGACGACGTAGCCTGTAAAGGCTACGAAACGTCAATAAATAAATAAAGTTTTGTGCATTAACCCGTAAAAACTAGTTTTATTTAATGAGTGATGTGCGTGAAAACCTAAGAAACAAAAAATATAAATATCATCATTAGCCTATTAATGTCCCCACTGCTGGGGCACAGGCCATCCTCACTATAGCGGGATATACGGTGGGTGCCAACGACTGCAAATGCAGCCAGGACCGACAGCTTAACGTCCCTGCCGAAGCACGGAAGAGCTCGAGATACTAAATTTTTGGTCACCCATCCAATGGCCGACCACTGCGAAAGTTACTTAACTTCTGTGATCTCAGCCGAATACGCTAACCACCGATAAAACTTATACTTCCTGGGCTCAAGAGGTGAGGTAACTTTTTTGTTGAAAAGGTCGCTATTAACGATTTTTTTTCTGGCGCTTCGCCGGCACGCTCGCTTAGCTCGCTCGGATCGCGCGTTATGTTCACAACACTAACCTAACCTAACCTAGTTAGTGTGAAGTATAACCCCCTAGGCTCAGGAACTTCAGTATATCCTAACCACCTGTGCCATCGAACTACTCGTCATTAATACCGTCAGTAAATCTAAAGAAAAATTTTTACTAGAAAAAACATCCATGCGGACCAGGCAGCGGACGGGACTCGAAGCCGCACCCTTCGCAATCCGGGCGAACGCACTGACCAATTATGCTACCAGGGCCCTGATGGCCGCGTCGAAATGGTCCTAGCCTTTAAGCTGCAAGGCAGCGCACAATGTCAAATGAATACTTTTTGTATTTAAAACTTATGTTTAAAACATCCAGCAGTTAAATGCTTAATAAAATAAATAAATAATAAATAAATATTTCCAACACTCACACCAATTAGCCTAGCCCCAAAGTAAGCACTGAAAGGCTTATGTTACGGTTACTAGGGTAACGGATAGAATACATATACTTTACATATATAAGTATATTTATATAGAAATATATATTAAACATCCATGACTGGAGTACAAATGCTCGTGTTCATCACACAAACATCTGCCTCCGCCGGGATTCGAACCCGGGACCTCTCGAGGCGGCGACACCATGAAACCCGGCGTACAAACCACTCGACCACTTAGGTCGTCAGATCGTCAAAATAAAAACATAACCGTCGGTAAAATTAAAATTCATTAAGTATCCTATTAATAAGATCTTGAAAACATCCGTTTATAGTAAGTAATGAAAGAATCTCTTATCTATTATATAAGTCCGTCCGTCCGTCCGTCTGTCTGTGGTGCTGTTTCAGCGGCCAAACCGTAAGAGATAGATAAAGAGAATGTTTAAGTTATAAGTTAAGAATAGTCTGATAAGACTACAAACCGGATTTGAGTAACGTAGCACTTCCGGTTTTCGAGAAATCACGAATTTCAAACGAAACCACACAAAATATCCGAAGTTCTCAATTACATTTTTTTTCTTAAATCAGGTTTTGGTGAACATTTGGTTCACTGGTTTGCTAGTTTATAATATAATAGCTGACTCGGCGAACTTCGTACCGCTCAAAAGTAATAATTTGCATTAAAATAAACTTGCGACTATAAATTGAAATGTAAGCTATCCTGTCTTTCAAGTTGGATCAAACTGCACAAAGTGTGCAAATTTGATTAAAATCGGTTATGTAGTTTAGGAGTCTAGTATATATCCTAAATAATGTAATGGAATGTGACTTCAGAAGTATGTCTGAAGTCATTTTTCAACTTGACGACTCTGTATATATCAATACAGGGAGAAAAAAGCAGCCCTTGCTGAGTTTCTTGCCGGTTCTTCTCAGTACAAGGTCTTCCGCCGTAGATTTGCGAACCGATGGCGTAGCTACTTGACCTTCACAAGTGCTTGTAACAGCCTAGACTGAATAAATGACTTTTCATTTCATTCCATCCCGGACAAACAACGTGACGCGTAATATATATATTAATACTAGATATGCCTTACGGTTTCACCCGCATTAATTTCAGGAACAAGAATATAGTGGGCCACCCATACCATTAACAAATAGACATTAACTCATGCGGACTTTTTTTTATAGAACTTTTAAATGGTAACAAATCTAGTTCAACTGTTTTCCGTTTACAAAGCACACGCAATAGGGATAATGACTATTTTTTTTTCTTCGTTAATCAGGTAGATTATCAAAAAGTATTGGACACGTATTTATTCTTTTTTCACATAATATAAACATCGCAGAGATATGTATATTGATTTGAAAAGTCGCATGACTTCACGTTTTGGTACAATTTTCACTTAAAAATGACTTCGCGAGCCCCTACTCCCAAACTTTGACGCGCTATAACTTTGTAATTTTTTGTTTCGTAATTGTAAAAAAATACGTGTCCATTATTTTTTGATCATCTAACTGACACGTGTCCATTATTTTTTGATCATCTAACTGACGGACTAAATAGAATTTCGTTTACTGTACCCCGTTATCACCCTTGTTGAAGCTAGGGAATATTTTTTCCTGTTTTAACATTTTTCATTGATGTTCCGTCGCTTTGAGTTGTTGGTCTATGTTATATAGCTCAATATATGCACTTTTCAACAAAACAATATTTTTTTCAAATTGAACCAGTAGTTCTTAAGATTAGCGCGTTCAACCAAACAAAGTAACAAACATCAGTTAAGTATAGATACTTCTAGGAATCTGAATAGAATTTGTTAATTTTTTCTTAATAAAAAGTTTCCGTATAGATAGATATTCTTAGGATTTTATTTGCATAATATTTGTTTTTTTTTCTTAATATATAGTTTCCTCCAGGGCTTGTTTACCGGTTAATTTTCAAACCTAAATCAGTATCAAGTACATTAGGAGCGTTTTATTTAGGCTCTACCTTAACCTTAAAAAACCGGTTTTCTTAAAAAGCGAAATCAAATAGGTTTTGAATCAATTTAGCGATTTTTAAAGGGTTTCATTTCGCTTTTACTAACGACATCGCCTTCACCGTTTCAATTCAGATATTATGTCAGTTTCTTTCCAATTACAGAGCGAGTGAGTGCAGTAGTGTGTCAGTATACAACTAAAAAATGAATAACTTGACTCACTAGACGCTAGCAAACGTGTCAATAAATGCATCAATCTCTGAGCATTAACAAGTTGTAACTTGATTAGTTCCAACAAAACAAACTTCAAATGCCGACGCGTGCACGTGTCACTCTGGATTAAACCGGTTTATTAAGGTTTTAGGTACCGCTTTCATTTCGGACGCGCTCCGTACGATACCTTTACTAGAAACCCCGTATTAACCTTTATTAACCGGTATTTTTGAAACCGGTTACAAGCCCTGGTTTCCTCATCATCATCATCATCATCATCAACAGCCTATCTTAGTCCACTGCTGGACATAGGCCTCTCCAAATGCACGCCACTTAGATCGATCTTGGGCTACTCGCATCCAGCTCCTGCCAGCCACCTTGCGCAAATCGTCACTCCATCGCGCCCGAGGACGTCCTACACTACGTTTGCCTAGACGCGGTCTCCACTCCAGAACTCGTCTACCCCAACGGTTATCGGTTACAAATATGGCCAGCCCACTGCCACTTCAACTTGCTAATCCGGTGGGCTATGTCGATAACTCTGGTTCTCTGCCGGATTACCTCATTTCTGATGCGATCCTTCAGAGAAACTCCGAGCATAGCCCTTTCCATAGCGCGTTGAGCGACTTTGAACCTGTGGACCAGCCGTACCGTCAGTGTCCACGTCTCGGCTCCGTATGTCATCACAGGTAGGACGCACTGATTGAAGACTTTCGTCTTTAGACACTGTGGGATCTACGATGTCAGGACTTGACGTAACTTCCCAAACGCTGCCCAACCTAGCTGAATTCTTCTATTCACCTCGTCCTCAAAGTTGTTTCTACCTAACTGCAATGTCTGCCCGAGGTACACATATTTTTGAACAACTTCGAGAACGGCACCGTGTATTGCAATCGGTTCCGGTAGAACATGTTCATTGAACATGACCTTGGTTTTATCCAAGTTCATCCGTAGGCCGATGCGTATAGAAGAGTCAGCCAGGTCATTCAGCATCTGTTGTAGGTCCTGCAGGGTTTCTGCCATGATGACGATGTCGTCTGCAAATCGCAAGTGAGAGATGCGTTCGCCATTTATGTTGATGACACGTCCTTTCCAGTTCAGCGTCTTGAACATATCCTCCATTGCATTA